GAAGCTTGGCTTGGCAATAACTTTTAAAAGAAGTAAGGGAAATGATGTTTAAATAGTAGGGAGGGTTCAGCTGAAGTTAAACAACGTAAATTTGTGGTAGTCTCTCCTTATGTCTCATCACAGATTAATCTAGATTGTCATAGAGCTAATGGGAGGAGCAAATGCCCCATCTCTAGAACATTTTTATTGTCTTCCTCAACTCATCCCATGAATTAAGTACTTTTTACAACAGTGCTCTTAAGAACAAACTCATATTTTATTTGGGTTTCAGAAATCAGGCAAGAAATGGGATAGTCCTCTTACTCTCTTTCCTTTTCGCCTTAGTCCTGGAGAGGAAATTATAGCTTTTTGAGTAAACAACATATTGTGGACCTTTTCACAGGTAAAGATGCAGCTATATCATTATTTTTAATATCTGTATAGAAGTCAATCATATTGATTTATCACAATTTTTTGCCAGTCCTCCACAGATTGGCCTTTGGGGTTTTTTGGTTCATTTGTAATTATTAAACAGTGTTTTGATGGCAGTGTTTTATTTCCTTTAGATAAATTTATTGAAGTAGGATTTCTGGGTTAATCAACATAGCCATTTACATTTTTTATATATCTTTCTAAATTATTCTCCATAAGCTTATTTTGCACTCAGACTAACCATGAATGAGAGTTCTGGTTTCATCTTAACCTTACTGACACTGGATGTAATCATTTTTTTTAATTTTTGCCAATTTGAAAGTCTAAAAATATCATGTTTTACTTTTAGTTCTCTATTAACCAGAAGTTGAATATTTATTTTTATGGTGCTAATTTGCATTTTATAGGGGTATTATTAAAGTTCTTAATCTATAAAAATTCAATTTATGGTAAATATATTTATGTGGTCTTTATTGTATATGTTACAAACAAATCTTCCAAGTTTTCAGTCTTTCAGTTTGAGATATTTTTTGCTGTATAACAAATTTGAATGTAGTCATATCTATTAAACTTTTCCTTAACAGTATATGCCTTTGAGTTATTAGAAAGATTTTCCTCAATTCAAGATTATTTTCAAAAGTAACTTATATGATTATCCAGTAATTATATGGTTTTACTTTTATCATTACATTTTAAAATTCATTTGGATTTCTTTTCCAAATTTCTAATTTCTACTGATTTGAAGTGAACTTTTTTTATTTTTTAAAATGTTTAATAATTTTTATTAACTAGTTTCCTTATATATAAAAGGTAATACATGTAATGATAGCAAAAAATTTTTTTTTCAAACAGTGCAAGAGGGTTATATCAAATCACACTCACTGTTTACTTTTATTTACAAGAATTTCTTGTTCATACGTTAAATTTCTAGAGAAGCTAGCATACCTTCTTAAATTCTGTTTTATTGGTTTGCCTATCTGGTCATGTTTCCTTCTATTCCTAAATTAAAGTTACCCCTAATTGCTTTTCCTGGCAATTTGTCTACTGGATTATTAAGGGAAAGTTAGAGTATTTAAAAGCCACTGTCAAAAACTGGATCTTTGCCTAATTGGTTTTTCTTACATTAAGATTTTTTAGGGGAAAGAAACAGCTATGGTAAATGTTTTTGTAAGTAAGATTTTTAAAACCCAGTAAATTTGCAGGTAAAACAAATGGAAAGAGAGGCTTAAACTAAGTTTGTTATATCTTGAAAACAATTTAGCAAACAGGAAGTATCACAGTTCTTAATTAAGTCACATGAGGATAATAGTACAATTAATGCGTTAGGTTGATTTAAAAGACTAGTGAACCTTTTCTCTTTTCAGATATTTTTAGGCAGGTGGTTAGTTCCATTGCTACTTGGTTCTAGAGATTTCACTGGGTTAACGATGATTTGAAAAACAATGTTGATTTGGGGAAATGTGATTGTAGTTCTCTCTAGAAGACTTTGAGGTAGATTGCACTGCTGTATGACCATATATACTCTGTTGAATTGAGTATTTTTTGTGTATAGAAATGTTTTGTGTGTTTTTGGATTTCATTTCTCTACATAGATACATAGCAAATTCCTATGCCTAGTAAAATCAGACTCTCTGAGATTACTAATGACCTCTAATTGTGATTAGTTAGTGACTTTTTTTAGTTCTTCATCTACTCATTTTCTCTCACTTAATTTAAGGACAGGCTAAAATTTTAGCCATGCCATTTTCAAATTATATAACCTCTCTTCCAATAAATTGGGTAAAATACTGTGTACCTCAGAGAACTGTCATAGGGTTAAATTACATAATTTACTTGGAAGCGCCTGATATGTATTGGTTATAAACCTGTAGTGCCTACCATGTTTCCACTCAGTAAATAGACCAAACTGTCTCTAGCATCTAGTAGCAACTTTTTTAGTTTTATTTCAATAATTATACATTCTCTTTTCTGTACTTCTCACTAGCTCCTCTTCATCATCATTTAAACATGCCCAAGTTTTTGAATCATTAAAAAAAAAAAAGAACTGCTGTCTCTCACACTGTCCCCAACCAAGTTCCTGCAGCAGCCATCTCTCTTTTCCTCCTCATGGCCAATTATTTTGTAAAATGTTGCTCAATTTAGGATTGTCTGATGTTTCCTTATGATTTGATTGATATGATGTGTTTTTGGCAAGAATAAGTGATGTGCCCATCTCAGGGTATCGTATTAGAAGTCTGGTATGTGAAATTGATATAGCTCATTACTGGTCACATTAACTTTGATCACTTGGTTTATTAAGGTGGTATCTGCTACGTTTATCCAGTGTTGTGTTATTTTTCACTTTGTCATTTTAAAATATTTTGTGAGGAGATACTTTGAGTGTATACAAATATCCTGTTTCTCATCATACACTTACCCACTAATTTTACCATCCACTTTGGATTCTTGCCTACAAGTTATTACTATGGTGATTGTCAAATCACTGATTTTCTATTTCTATCATTCTTTAGTAGCAGAGATTCTTAAATTGAGGTCTCTGCTCTGTACATATACCTGTATGCATTTGACTGTGGAAAAAATGTGCAGCATTGACCAGATTTTCAAAAGATCATTAAATGGTATTAACTTTTTCTATCTATCCCTACTTTCTTAGTTTTGTGGTCATAGCACTGCCATTAGAGTAGATGAAAAGAAAACTTTGTGTATTTGGCTTCTGTTTTTGATCTCTCTACATAGCTTATTCTGAATTCCTTTGAAAAGATCTAGTGCACAGTAGACCACAATACACCCACCTGAGGTGAATGAGAGCGGAACTGCAGTGTTGGTTGTTGTCCTATGTTGTCAAGACTTTGTTTTTTGTGGCCCATAGGTGGTGAACCATTACATTTTGATCTGTACATTTCTAGTTTTACCTTAAAGAATGCGTGTTTTTATCCCTATAGAGTTTCAAAGAAGTCAAATACAGTATTTAGTTTGTCTTATAAGGAAGATTACTAAAAATTTTAGATTTTTAAATATAATATTACCATAGGTTTTGATAACAATCATTTTTTTTTGTTCTAAGCTATGCTTTCTTGAAGTAAATATATTTTTGTGAACAAAATCTTAATTGAAACCTTAACTGAAACATGAATTTTTACAAGAAGTAGTTGTATTTTGACTTTTAATATCCCAGAAGCTATTTCTATGGCTTTGTCCTTTATACAGCTAGCAAAAATGAGATTCTTATTTTTCTGTTCTTTAGGAACTACTAAGTCACTTCTACCCATGCCTTTTTTTTTTTTAAATCTTCTAGAACAAGATGGCTACTTTGGTAGAAGAGAATTAAAATATTACAATAATGATATGTTTGAAGGATGATTTGTGAATTAATCTTATTAAAATGGATAATTATCTTGAGTTTAATGTGGCTTTCATAAAGTTCATCATTTTACAACATTACATACATACTTGAAATAAACTAAGCTATACTATATAGTGCAAAATTCAGTAGTTTATTTAAAGAGGATGGTATGCAAGCTTGATTAAGCAATGCCTGTTTTCTTTTCTATACTTGGAAAATCAGTACATTGCTACTCCAGAAATTTATTTGCATATTAAGTCTTAAAAAAATAGAGATATGTTTTCTCCTCATCAAACATTTAGATCTTTTTTGGGGTAATTACTATAGGGAAAATTAAATTTTAAGCAAGGGGTCAGTATAAGTAAAGACACAGAGATTTTTCTGGTAAAGCAGTATGGTGTGTGTATGTGTAGCAGGAGATAATCAGTTTATTGTCACAGAAATACCACATGCGAGGCAACTAATGTCAGGAGATGGTGTTGGAGAGGTAGGTGAATGCTACATTGTGACAGGCTAATATGCCAAATTAAAGAGCTTGGACCGCTGGGAGGAGATCTGAGAGGTAAGGAGCGCCTGAACTAGGGAAGGGCTAAAAAGGGTTGAGTTCAAGAAATATCAAGAGTTCTGGCATGGGTGAATGGCGCTCACACCCCAGATAGAAAATAAAGAAGAGAGAGCAAGGTTTGGAGATCATAGAATATTTTTAGTGTTATACAAGGGATCTGAGGTGTAATGCTGTCAGCATCGAACATCAACTAAAACTGAATTTATTTTGATGATGACTCATGTTTACAAATGTTAGAGTCTCCAAGCCTTCTTACCTAGCTTTTTTGATCCTCATCAGACGCTTGTGGGATAGTTAGGACAGATTGCTATCTTCGTTTTTCTTTTCCAGTTGCGGAATCTGTGCTCTTTTTAAATTATGTTCCCTGTTCATAGATAGCTGTTAGTTTTGTTGTTGTTGTTGTTGTTGGGTATATATTCTAAAATGTCAAGGCTGAAAGGAACTTCAGAAATCCTCCTTTTCATTTTCTTTATTTTAAAAATGAATAACGTGCCCAAAGAGGTAAAGTCACTTTCCTAAGACCATATAGGCAGAAAAAGCAAAACAAGATCTGAAACTCAGCTTTATTGATTCCTGGTCCCTGTAACAAGAACTGTAATTTAAATTTGGATTACAAGTAATATTAGGCCAGGCTCTGCTACTTCAGTATTCTCATTTTTCTTTTATGTTTCTTGGAAATAGTGTGCAGTTCGCGCAGCCACAGAAGGCAGAACTCTCATTCTGGAAGGTTTGGAAAAGGCAGAGAGGAATGTTTTGCCAGTTTTGAACAACTTGCTGGAAAACAGAGAGATGCAGCTTGAAGATGGACGCTTCCTGATGTCTGCTGATCGTTATGACAAACTTCTTCAAGTAAGAGAAGAAAAATCCCGCTGCTTTGTCTTTGCTGTCAAGCTGTGGGCAGTGCCATTTTGTTGTATGAGACATGGTCCTATTGGAACCAGGACAGATATTCAGATGGCCCTTATCTTGAGTAAATTGCTAAAGTCATGAGTTTATAGTTTGACAAGGCTCTTCTGTTTGTAGACCTTGTCAGAAGATCTCCCAGATTTTTACTGTCTTTTTTTGAACAGTCTAATAACAATTCTTTTTCTCATTTTTTTCCTATTTTTTCTTCTTCTCTTTCTTCCTTTTTTCCCCATCTCCCTTTTGTGTCCCCTTTCTTTTTTTTTCTCTTAACAACTATTTACTAAAAGGCTAATGACTTCTAGATAGTGCTAGTCACTAGGGATACAAAGTTGAAGAAAGTCCAGTTCTTAGCTTCAGGAAGCTCAAGGTCCTGTAAGTATTGACAGAAATGAATAAAATATTTAAAGGTTATCCTGTTCTGATGACCCAAGCCACCAGCATTACATGCTGGGGTTGCTGTAGGAACCTCCTAACTGCACTCCCTGCTTCCATTCTTGTTCCCTGACACTGTTCTCAATGCAGCAGTCAGTGATCGCCTTACATTTGGGGACATTCATATGCTCTAACCCTGATAGCTTCTTGAGTAAAGTTCAAAGTTTTTACCATGCAATGCAGTGCCCTTTGTTGTCTGCTTCCCTCTACTAGAATAAAAGTTTCATAAGGGCAGGGATTTTTGTCACTGATATTATCTCAAGTTCCTAGAACAATGCCTGACACATGGTAGATGCTCAATAACTATTTGTCAAATGAATGAATAAGTGCCATAGAATGGTTAAATGCTGTGATAAACATGCATATAAAGAGGGCAACAACTAGGGAATGTGAGGACTTTTCAAAGGCTTGGGAGATAGGGTCATATAATGCCACAAATGACAAGAAAACACTTAGCCCTTGTTCATCCAGCTCAAGCTGTACCATGCTGGGTCTCTCTGTGGCTAACCTAGCCTTCTGTGACTGACTGCTCTGCTTATACATTCTAGGACCCAGAGTCTCTCTCATACCTGTTCTGTAGAGATACATATGTGCTAATCTTACTATCCCAAGTTGGTTGCAAATTGGTCAGGAGCAGGATCTGTGTCTCATACTTCTTGATCTTGCTCCCAGGGTGCTAATACAAGTCCAGAACACGCTAGGCCCTAAATAATGAATGTTGACACCAGAGGGTCTGATTGAACTAATGCTGCATGGCTGGCAGGGCCAGAAGCAGTCTGTTTCTTTACTGTTTGTGGGAGTTTCTAGATGGTACTTTCTTGTGAAGTATAGTCATTTTCCTCTGGATCTATTCAGGGAGCATCTCGTTCTAATTTAATCAGAAGGAGATAATCAAGGATTTAATCAAGTAGAAAAAGTTGAATTCATTTATTCATATTGTAAATTTACCAAAATGAAAGCTTTTTAATTTATTTTTAAAAGCTTAAATATATAAGCATTTTCTCTTTAGATGCTTTCTAATTACAAAATAACTACTTGCCACTAGCGATTATATTAGTGTTCACTATTTTTAGTAAATAATTTGGAAAAAAGGTACTCAGAATATGGAATCTTTTTTTTTTAAAGTATAGGAGTTACTTCACAACAAAAAGTTTGATATATTCTTTATTCTTATAGTAGAGTTCTATGCAGTTACTGAAGATATTACTTTGAATAGGAATTCAGGATATGTGAGTCAAAAGAAGTTTGGTGGCAGGCGTGGTGGCTAACACCTGTAACCCCAGCACTTTGGGAGGCCAAAGTGGGCAGGTCACCCGAGGTCAGGATCATTCATTCTTATAAAAAGGAGATTGTCTATATTGGATTCTGGTGATAGTTAAATGAGAAAAATCCATGGAATGTGCTCACCACATAGTAAATTTCCAAAACATGTTAGTTATTACTAGTAATATGCCTTACTAGAAATACCCATAAACATAATTATTTAAGGTCCACAGGTAATCACAGCTTTGCATGTGATCTGCCCTGCAGGGACTACCTTTCTTACAACCTCTAGTCATGTATTTTCCTTACCCCTTGACTCTTTTCCTCTGTATTACTGACTAAGGCTTGGAGATCTGACCCAAGTGCCCTTTATTACTTGTGTGTTAACTACTTCCATTCAAACACCCTGGTCTTCATGTTGTGAGCCTGCCCTGACATCCTGAATTGATTTCACTGTGCTGCCTTCCTTGACAGTTTGGTTTTGGGAGTGTTCTCAAATACAGTTTTCTCAACAGTCAAGTCCTAAGTTCTTTGACTTAGCCACCCTTATAGTTGTGATTTGTATCATTTATGCTACAGCTTCTGGATCTCTTATAGGATCACACCAAAAAAGAGTTGGATTCTTGGAAAATTGTCCGAGTTAGTGAAAATTTCCGAGTGATTGCCTTGGGCTTGCCAGTGCCAAGGTATTCTGGAAATCCATTAGACCCCCCTCTTCGTTCTCGATTTCAAGCCAGGGATATTTATTATTTACCCTTCAAGGTAAGTATGACCAAGAATAATTTATTTGTTAAAGAATTTTTCTATTTATAACAAGAAATTCAATTCTATAAAAATGTTACTGCATTTTTAAATGTTCTCCTCAGTAGGTCATGGAAAGATATGAGAAAAAAGAGTAAAGAAAATCTCTGCAAACTAGGAAGAAAACTTATTATGGCATTATTTGAAGGCTTTTTTTTTAAAAAAAAAAAAAAAAAGCCTGGCTTTTCTTTTAGAAAATGAAATGATTTTTTGCTATTAAATATTTAGTGTTTACTTAATTAAAAGGTTGTATTATGTCTATAAAATGTTTGCATTTAATCTGTTACATTTCTTGTTAATTAATTTAATATGTTTCTATATTACTTTAGGACCAACTTAAGTTGTTATATTCAATTGGAGCCAATGTTTCTGCTGAGAAGTAAGTATATTTTTATAAATATCTGGACACTGAACATTGAACTTGTTTTGCCCATTGATTGATTGATTGATTGATTCATTCATTCATTCAACAACTAGAATCTTATAAGAATTTTTTAGCATTAGGAGGTTTGATGATAAAATTAATAAGATATCTTTGGCAAGAAACTCAAAATCGAATTGAGTTAAAAGATACATGAATAGCTTTAGTTAACATGGCATAGTAAGTGCTATAATTTCAAAATATTGGGGTTATTCGTTGAGACTTTATAAGGGCTTAACAAAAGCATTGGTGTTTGAAATGGGTCCTAAGTAATGAGTAATTTTTTCCAGAGAATGGAATCAAGGAAATCAAACAGAGCAATTTTTTTTTAAAGTATGGAATATGAGAGTTTATGCCTTGTTCTTAGGGCCACACACACAAAAGAAACTCTTGGAGGCTAGAGTTTAGGTTTGGGATTATGCAATGTGAGAGATGAGGCTGGCAGGGTGGATTTGGACCAGGTGTTGAAAAACCTCAAATATTGTGCTGGATTTAGGAATATATCTGCATCTAATCAGCTTCTGGGTTTTAAGTAGGATATTATGATGTAGAGCCATTGTTCCTTAAGAATTAATATTAGGGATCATCTTTTTAGATTAATTAAATTGGCTCATATTTTATATTTAACACTTATACATTTTATATTTTAAAACTATTAACATTTAATATCATTTTTCCTCTAGAGTTTCTCAGCTCTTGTCCTTTGCCACAACTCTGTGTTCCCAAGAATCTTCTACTCTTGGACTTCCAGATTTTCCTTTAGATAGTTTAGCAGCTGCAGTTCAAATCTTGGTATGTATAAAATAAATTAATGACTGGCGTACCCAAATGTGTTAAAAAATTTGAAAGTTAATCATTAGGGATTAATAACTTCCAGTTTGCTTCATCATACTCTTCTATAAATTATGTAAGGCCTGAGATTAATTTGTTGTATAGTGTACTAAACCGTACAGAGACCAAGGACATGTTCTGAGCCCCTAAAGAGCTTTCAGCTTTGGAGTAGGAGGAAGGCATGCAGCCTCAATAAAAGTCCTACAGAGGGAAGGGAGGCTTTAGCCTGATCAAGTAAGAGGTGTGCTGCAGTGTGAGTTAGGCCTTAGAGCTGTCTCTACCTGAGTTAGGGGAGCTGGGGTTTTCACACTGCTCTAGTTTCCATCAGTCACTGTGTCATGGTTGTCTGAGGGGACACAAATTCCCAGACACTAACTGCTCTCCCAGCATGTGTACAAGGGTGGCTCCAAGAGCCAAGGACAGTCTTCTTAAAAAGACCTATAGCTGTTGGCTTTTGGAAGAGAAAGCTAGGAGGCACACAGAGCAAATACAAACAGATCTGAGGGGACCTGATAGAGTATATACATTGTCCACTGCAGTTTCATAAAGGGCATGGCAGTCATGTCTGGAGAGACAGAAAGGCCTTCCAGGCAAGAAGTCAAAGCACAGGCAAATGTGTTCAATCACAAAAGGGCCTAGTATCTTTGGAGAATGAGAATAAGTTGTATCCCTAAAGCAAATGTGTGTCGTAGTGGGAGAAGTTAGAACACTATTGTGAAATGTTTTGCATGATGAATGAAGATTCCTGGATTTTATGAAGTGGAAAAAGTAGCTTATCAGACATTATTAAGTAGGTGTGTATGAGGTGACCAGACTTATGTTGGAGGAAGACATCTTTGTTAGCAGTTGGGGAATGACTAGGAAGCTTTTGTAATACTCAGTGAGACCCTATGGAGGAGGACACCATCCAAGATAGTGGGGTTACTATCTTAGGCAAGAGACTTATTTTTAAACTTTAATGTATATATGTATATGTGTATGTTTCTTGTGTGTCAGGGAGCTAGGTATTGACATTGTTCTATATATCCAGAACAGAATTTCTCCTCCGGTTTGTCAAATCTTATACTTTTATCAAATCTTTTTGTTTTTGCTTAGAACATTTTATTTTGAAAATTCTCAAATGTAAAAAAAAAAGTTGAAAAATAGTTAAACATTCATAATCCTTTCACGTACAATCACCCATTATTAATATATTGCCACATTTGTTTGTATGTGCTTTCTTCTTTCTTCTTTTTTTTTTTTTCCATGAACCATTTGGAAGTAAATTGCAGTCAGTACTTCAGTATGTGTATTAGTCTGTCCTCCCATTGCTAAGAAGAAATACCTGAGACTGAGTAATTTATAAAGGAAAGAGGTTTAATTGACTCACAGTTCCACAAGGCTAGGGAGGCCTCAGGAAACTTACAATCATGGTAGAAGGGGAAATGAACACATCCTTCTTCACATGGTGGCAGGAGAGAAACGTACAGCGTGAAGGAGGGGAAAAGTCCCTTATAAAGCCATCAGATCTCACGAGAACTGACTATAATGAGAACAGCATGGAAGTTAACCACCCCCGTGATTCAGTTATCTCCTACCAGTTCCCTCCCACAACACATGGGGATTATTGGAGCTACAATTCAAGATGAGATTTGGGTGGGGACACAGCCAAACCATATCAGTATGTAACTTCTAAGAATTAGCACATTCTTCTACATAACCAGAACAACATTATCACACTCCATATCATGTTAACAGTAATCTATAATGTCATCTAATAGATAGTTCATATTGAAATTTCACTAATCTTTCTTTTTAATAGTCTCTTTTAAAGTGGAGTGAACAGAATTGACAGTGTAAATAATATGGGGGAGGATTTGAGGATAATGAACACTTTCTAATTTTACAGTTATAACTGTGAAGCTAAATGAATGTGGATGAGATTAACTTATATTAGGAATAGAAGGGGATCAGTTACTTTGGGATGAATAAGGTAGAGACATGTATTCTGTTTCAAATGGGGGTCTGTGGGATATTCATATAGTCACATATAATGAACAATTGAGGTTCAGGTTTAGAGCTCAAGAAAAAGTCAGGACCAGACATAGAAGTGTGGGAGCCATCAACAGATAGAAGACAGATGAAAGATGTGAGTGGGTAAGCCTACCCAGGGAAAGGGCAAGGAATAAGAAGAGAAAATAATGAATATTTGCTTTTGTAAACTTAAAGAAAATACCAGACACCTATTGGATACTTTTATAAGTCAATTTTAATGTCATATGTATAATTCAGATGTTTTCTGTGATTATTTTGAATTTTTCTTATTCGTATATATTTTTGCTCCTACATAGGATTCCTTTCCTATGATGTCAATTAAACATGCAATCCAGTGGCTTTATCCATACAGTATTTTGCTAGGTCATGAAGGGAAGATGGCTGTGGAAGGTGTTTTAAAGGTGAGTATCTGCTTCCCTTTCTTTTCCCATTTTCCCTTCTCTTGCTTTTTCCCATCTTCCCCTCATTCCTTTCCCCGCTTCTCCTATTTTTCTCTCTCCATCGGTATTTCTTCCCCTTCCCTTCCCTTCTTTTCTAGGCATGGAGGCATCAGCATTCCAACAACAAAAAAGCTGTGATAAATAGTCCAGCAAGCACAGAGGGGGTGGTATGGATGGGAGATTGGTTATGCTGAGCAAATAAGCAAATAGATTGAGCAAATGAATGAATATATTTAGAATACTAAGAGCTATGCTTCTCCTTGTTGGATAAGGGATTTATAACCATGGAAAGGGGGAAGGCAAGAAAAAACTCTAAGGTATTAGATTGGAATTGGAGTTATCATTAAGAAACGTGGGCTTTTTCTTAAACAATATATATGAACAGATAGATATAGAGATAGTATGTATATATGTATACATACATGTATTTTCTAGCTGTCTCCTGAGAGAGCCTAAAATCTATGATGCTCTAGTAGCAGTGATCACACCAAGTACCAGGACATTGGTTTCTAAATATCGTGCTTTCTAAAAGGATCAGATCAGGGAATGTACAAGATGGGCCCGGACCATCTTTTTGTGCCAGAGTGTAGGAAATGTTCAACAAATGATGTTGATATGTGAACATGATGGAGTTCCCGGCTTGAAGTGGCTGAAATCTGGGACAATTTGAGCATTAAAAGAAATTATGATGATAATTGATTTTAGCCTATTGCATAAAACTGGAATCCATGAGTCCATACTGATATAAATGAATAAAAAATATGGAGAAGGGAATTATCTTTTAAAGTGTAAAATGCCTACTTGTGAATCTAGAAGGAATTATATAAATAGAAAAAACACCATTTGGCAACCATCAGAGTGGCAGTTAATTTAGACAGGAGTCATCAAAGGATGATAAAGGTGGCAGGTAGAGCTGCTATGAGGCACAAGATATTGGCAGAATCTCTGAATATCTCCCTTCAAAATACTCCGTTGACTACACAACAAGAAAATGGTATTTATTTATTTACTTTTAAATCAGCCCTGCAGAAACAGGGCCTCAAAAAATTGGATTAAGACTCAGAATTGTTCTTCTTCACAGAAATCTTAAGTAAAAGTCAAAAGATTTATATGATTTGAAGAGAAACCAGAGTATAGAAAGTGGTATTTTTTACAGTAAACTTCAAGTTGACTGGGTAAGACAAATTGACATTGTATGCCTCTCAAATTCCCCATTTCTGCGGAATTTTTGTTGAAAGTTCATGATATATGTTTGGCCATGAAGAAATACTGTAGAATTCTAGGTTGAGGGCCATTGTACAGAAGGTAAGCCTCCATTTTTTAAAACTGTTCAGACATGAAAAACAGGAAAAAACATAGAAATGTTCCAGGCTAAAGGAGGCTGAAAAGATTGGATAGCTAAATGCATCATATGTTCCTGCATTAAATTCTGGACCATTAGAAACAAGTGAGAATGTTGGTGCTTTGGTAAAACTTGAATAGGGTCTGTGGATTAGATAATAGTGTTATATTAAGTGGATTTCCTCATTTGGAGGCTTATGTAGTGATTACATTGGTCATAGTTCTTGTTTTTAGGAAATATCAACTTGAGTGTTTAGGGATATAGGGGCATCATATCTGCAGCTTGCTCTCAAATTGTTTAGATAAAGATCACTGATAAAGTAGGCAGGGGGAATAGGAGGGAGAGGAAATGTGTTAAAATATTAACCATTGAGGAACCTGGGTGAAGGTTATTAACTTGAAAAGCAAGCATTTTAAATAAACTATGGGAATTGCTATAGAGTTTGTCGTAAGTGGTTTATAATGGGTGGGTCATGATTTTCTTTCAAAATATGTGTGGCATAATTTCCTCATTAAATAGTTAACGGTGGTATTTTCCGAAAGGCCAATCACACTCTAAAATGCCTTATAACTATATTTTTAAAGTGTTGACCATTGGCAGAGACTTATTGACTCACCAAAATTAATTTCTCCTTATGAAAGATGGTTTTGTTTTTTTTACATGGGTTGGTTCAAGGTGCAGATTTCTAAGAAATATAATGTGACCATTAAACTGTGTACCTTTCTATTAGAACCTTTATTTTCTGGAGACCAGGATTTCACAACTTTAAGCATAGGAAATGATATTTCTGTTTCCCTTATCCTCAAATCTACAGAGTCTCTGGGATACAGAACACCCTCTATGTATCTATTAAGAATGAGACGACCTAAGAAGAGTGGAACATTGAATTCTAGTTACATAAGTGGGATTTTTTTCAGATCAGTTAGACAAAGAAACAGTATTTTCTTTGACTGCTTAAGTCAATAGTAATAACAATAAAATAAAAATAAACAACTGTTCCTAATAGATAATGAGCAGAGAGGTGTAGGGACAGAATCTAAAAGAAAAGCAAAAAGAAGCAAGAGGAAAATATGTCAATAAAGAGACAAAGGAGAGTAAAGAGATAGCAGAGAATGGAAGCACTGAAGTAACCAATGGTGAAAGAGAAGAAAGGGGTGTGTGTGTGTGCATGTGTTTGTGTGTGTGCATGTGTGTGTGTGTGTGTATGAGAGAGAGAAAGGAAGAGTAGGAGGAGAAGGAGGAGGAGGAACAGCAGCCAAAAGAGTAGGAAGGTGGATATTAAGAACCATTTGGAAATGGGGAGATTAATAGGCTCAAGGAGTCAGGAAGTTACTATCTTCTGACAATATAGTTCACTTAAAGGTTTATTCCACGTGCTGGGGAAAAAGAGAACTGGCACTTATCTTTGATTTAATCAACGTCTTAGCTAAATTGGCCATTGGTCATTGAAGTAGAGTATCTAGTGTTTAAGAGCAAAGGCTGACTCTAGAGGAACTTTAATGCTCCTCAGCACCATGCACAGTGCCTTGGGAACAAGGGCATATACTCAGGGAGGAAGAAACTCATGGGAAATTCTGATAAAATGAAGCAATGTAAAGTTTTTCTGAAGAAAACTGAGAGAAGATATTCAGTGTCTAGAAAAATCAGTTACAAACAAAGGTCTTTATCTTTCCAAAAAAACCACTTTGATGTGTTTTTGGTCTGTAATTTCAAAACTAGCCGTATAAATTTATTATAAAGTTATAGAATATCTTTAAAGAGTTGAATTTTCTGAAGAAAGTAGTTAGTGTTGCTTCAATTCCTGTTTTTTTATTTTAACCATAATTAAGGGGAACATAGAAAAATGATTGAGTTTATATTAGAACAGAAATGATTTCAAATTTGACTGTAGAGTTTTTTAAAAAGGAAAAAGGGTTTGTTGTTAATTAGATAAGAGGAGAAAGAGTAGCCTGTCTTCTCACCTTAATTATGTGAAGAGCTAGTTAATGGACAATTCTAACTCAGTAAACTATCAAGTGGGAGGGCTTAAGTTCATTTGTCTGATCTTAACGAAGTAAGATCTTTTTGTAAGATCATTACACAGTGATTTATACAACCAGATTAGCATCTTAAATATCTTAAGAGTAGAAGAGTCTATTTATTGATGAAATTCTTTGTGAACTCTTCTGGGAAGTCTATGTGGCCTGTTTGTTATTGCAAGTTTCTACATTTTCCTCAAAGCATTTTTTTAAGCTAATATTTATAGATGGGTGAAATGTTATATGTGCTCAAATAGTTTTGAATTAGAAGAGGTAAAAATTAAGAAAATATTGTTGAATTTGAAAAAAATGTTAAGAAATAGAAGTATGTATTATAATGGTAAATTAAGATGGTATTTATATACATACACACACACAAACACACACACACACACATACACACACAACTTTTCCATGATAAATGATAATTATCTTATCTCCTAGATTATCATATAAATTAATTGTAGTTGCATTTGAATTAGGTATCCATTTGAATCTTAGTGTAATTCATTAATTAGACTGTATTTTTAAGGAAAAATTATTAGTCAATGAAATGCAATCAGCTAGAATTCATAGTACCTTTCTTGTTTCTGAACAAATTATAAAAATGGCTGGAATGACTTTCATTCCCCAGATGGTGCTCATCATGTAATGTTCCTACTCTAAAAACATGTTTCTGTAGTCATGAAATAACTTCTAGCTTTTAGTTAAGGATGTCTTAAAGAAAACCCTTTCATTCTGAATCTTTCTTATAGTTTAGTAACAAATACATCCAGGCTTCTAGTAAAAGGTCTTGGCTCTGTCTCTACTTGATTAAGACTGCATCATAACAATGGTTACAGTGGTAAGTTCCCTTGGTGATTTAGAAAGGATATACTGCCACTTATCCATTGATAATGTAATCTGAGCCATAGTTTTTTAATAAGAAACTTGGATCTTACATTTAGTGTTTTCATTTAGTTCAACAAACATTAATTGAACATTCATTATTTGGCAAATGTTATACATATGGAAATCTAGTGATACAGAAATGGATGCAATCTTATTTCAGTTCCTGAGGAACATACAATATAAATGTCTGAGGAGCATCAGATATTTCAATAAATGACTCTTAATATCGTGGTGTTTTTTTCTTGCGGTCTAGCATAATGATGGCTAGCTCTGGTCAAAGAAGTAATGACCTGAAGTAGGCCAGTGAAATAGGAATTAAATGCATATGAGAAATGTTTCAGAGGTAGGATGATAGATGTTACTAACTGATGAAATATGAGGTATGAGGTGGGTTGAGGGAGCTATGAGAGAAAGTAAGAAATCAAATCCTACCTTGGACAACTGAATAGAGTTGCTGTTAATTAATATGAGAAAGTAGGGAAAATGAGCACATTTGTGGTGGGGGCTAAATAATTCCATACACTAGGACCCTTTTGAATTTGAGGTTTTTCAGGTGGTTTTATCTAGCAGACTTGAAAATGTGGATCTGGTTCTAGAGGTATTTTGATATTAAAGATAAATACTTGGAACCCATTAATGTTTAGGTGTTAGTTGAATTCATGAGGATGGATGTAACAACCTAAGGAGGGCAAGTATGAGAGGAAAAGTCTGTCTACAGACTGAACATTTCAAGATTGGATAGTGGGGAAAGAACCTTCAAATTAGGCAGAGGAAGCATAGTTAGAGATAAATAGAATGGCAGAGAGTATTTTTAGGGAGTATTGGGAACAACTGTTTAAAGAAGAAAGTAATAGCAGCAGTTTCAAATGCAGCAAAGATGTCTTGTTGAATGAAGGCTTGCAATATTCACTCAAAAAAGATTATTCATTCCATCCATCCTTCCATCCAATTGATTAGCCAGGCACTGTTATGCTGGAGATGTACACAAAACAGAACTTTCTACCTTCATGGAACTTATTTTTTAGTGAAGGGCAACTAAAGGAATGGATGCTTCTCAGTGATAGCATCCATTCCTCATCTGACAGACTATATACTTATTTACTTTCTGTCAGTCAAGTAAGTAAATAAGTATATAGTCTGTCAGTTTAGGAATGGATGCTGAGAAGATGACCTTTGAATAAAGATCTGAAGGACAGAAGTCCTGTGGGTAGAAAGTATTTCAGAGAGAAGGGATAACCAGTATGAAAACACTGAGGCAGGAGCATACCTGGGAACTGTAGGAACGGCAAAGGACAGTGTATTGGGGCAGAGTGAGTGAAGGAGAGGTGAGTAGGAGAGAAATTGGAAGGTAAAGACAGTCAGATCATGTAGGGATCTGTAAGCCGTGGAAAGGACTTCTGCTTTAAGTCTAAGTGAGGTGGAACACCAGTAGAGGGTTTTGAGAAATGTGTTGTATGAGTGATCATTTTAACAGGCTCATTCTGGTTGCTAAGTAGTGAATAGACTGTGGAGGGTATGAATGAAAACAGGGTAAAAACAATTGGTAGACCGTTGTAATAATCCAGTTGAGACACTATTGTTGCTTTGATCAGCTGTGATATTGGTAAGAAGTAATTGGATTTGGGTTACGTTTTAAAGGTAGAATCATTATGATTTGCTGAAGCGTTGGATGTAGGGTTGATACAGAGTTAAGGATGATTTCAAGCTTTTGGACTGAGAAACTTGAATGATGAAGTGGAGATAGAGAATATAGAGGTGGAGGGAATATCAGACCTGAGTATTGCATATATTTGATTTAAGATGCCTATTAGCTATCCAACTGGAAATGTCAAAGAGGCAGTTGAATATACAAGTCAAGATTTCAGGAGAGCGATCTGGACTGGA